TTAAAACAACCCTCATTTCTTCAAACCATAATATTCATTTTTCACATAGCCACAAACACCTCATTTTGAAAACATTAATTGTTTTCTGTTTCGTTCTTTATTTTCACTCATAGTAGAAAAAATCTTTATTACAAAACATAGAGAATACATTCTTTTCTAATTTCTATTATTCGTTGTCAATGGAGCAGAGTTCTAAAGTTATGGGTTTTTGCATAGAGGGGTTTGTTTCACGTTATGATAAAAAAAAAAATTAATTTTCGAGGTTTTAGTGTGTTTGTTTTAAGTTTTTAGTATTATAGTTACGTTGTTTATTTATGTTGAAGAATATGACATTTGCGTTAAGAGTAGTTAAGGTTTTATTGTGCATTGTTAAAATTTGTCGGTCTCTTTTGTAATGATTAATAATTTTATAAATTATGTAGTAAATCAAATTGTAAAAAAAAATTAGTGTGACAGTCCGCCAACTCGTTAGTAAACGGCATAAACTTGACTTTTGAGTTTAGACGTCTAAGTTGATCCGCCCCACATTTGGACGAACTTAAATAAGACAGATCTAAATGGGGCATGGCGTCCGCTTTGCCACCCCTAATTACAAGAAGAGTTATTGAACTTTAGTAAGTTTAGAATATTATAATATCATCTTGTAGAATAGTATAATGTCATCTCAAATATTTCATAAATTAAGAACAAATCGTTATAACAAATTAAATAAATCTAATATATTATAGCAATCACAACATTTTTTTATTACTAGCCATCATAACACTTAAATAAATAAAGTAATTAACAATAAAATTATTACAAATCAAGTATATTTTCATAAAAGATATTTTAGACTCAAATTTTGAAAATATACAATTCTCATATAAATTACTTACCAAATATGGGAAGAGTCCACTAAATCAAGAATATAATTTTAAAATCAAACAAAACTTCTCGAGTTAAACATATAAAATATATAAGGCATATTTGAGAAAAAAAATAAAATAATAATGTTATTTTAAAAATATAATCTCAAATTTGTTGATTATAAAATTAAAGTAAATTAAATTTCTTAATATGACACATAAATATAGTGTGATATATCAAATGATCAATATGCACATAAATATTTGGCACAATAATGTACTCTCATTAATCAAGAATGTGAATTCATAATGAACAAAAAATTCTATATAATATAGTATACATGCTAGTCAATGTTTAAAAATTTACTATTCTCACAATTAGTTTTGAGTGACACATACCCACGTAATTTATTAAGAATGTGTGGGATTATGTGTGGATCTTAATCGACAAAATAAATATATTAGATCCCATATCAATTTTCAAAATAATTTATTGAAATAACCAATTTTTTTAATAAATAATTGATTGAAGAGAAAACTAAAGAGAAAGTTTAGAGATGAGATATTATTATAATGGATAGAAAACATAATCGCAACATGCTCTATCGTTGCAAATAGTTTTAGAGATGGCTCAAGTCATACAAAATTGGTACAATAATATAAATCGATATTTAAAGAATGTTTAGTATTCCAGTAAAAATTATAATTTTTATATTTTACAATTTCATAGTTATATATCTAAATGGCTATGATACCAATTGATAGATTTAAAAGAATCGGATAGACATAAATTATAGTATATTATTATATTAAAGAATAATCGACAATGATAATAACGATGTATTTTATAAAATTTGAGAGAGGCCACCGAAAGAGTTAGTATGAGAGGATTACTTCTCGCATTATAGTTTAGGGATTTTAGATTATGTTAATTGTCTAATGGAACGACACTTAAATAGTTGAACGGTTGAGGACAAAAACTTCTCATTAAGCTTAACTAAATGGTCCAACCCATTACGGTTCATTCAGGCATAAAACTCAATCAAGTAATTCATCAATAATTAGTATTTTATAAGAATTGACCATAATATAATTTATTAATAATTAATTATGTCAATCCATATTTGATTAATTAAATAATTAATCTAACAGCAATTTCTCAATCGGTTCCGCAAACCTCGTCACTCATCAAAGTTTTCATCTTTTTTGGGGAGTTCGGGCAAAAGTCCTCTAGTGGAGGAGATTGTTGAGACTCGGGGCTCAAAAATGCTTGAAGCTGTTTTACATGGGAGTATCTTTCTCTTCTTCAGTATTCAGGTTTCTAAATTGGACAAGTCCGATATAGTAGGAAGTTGGTCGGCTGCTCGGGCTTCCAACATTAGCCTTTTTTATTCCTTCACGGACAAATCAGTCGTTTTTTTCTATAAAAAAGATAGGAAAGGATATTAGGTGAGTGAAACATAGTACAACAAGTAATGCAGAAAGAAAATAAATAAGTATTAGCCAGAAAGGGAAGAACTTGTTCTTCGGATAATGCCAATAGATCCTAAATTTTCATCATACGAAAAGAATCTAATAAGGCTAAAGACTTGATTTCTTGGTCGTTTAGTTTATCAAAATCAAACCCAGATACTGGAAGTAGATTTCCAGTCCAATAAATGGAAAAAAGTGAGATTCGTCTAGCCCATACAGTACCGGAGGACATCTCGGTCTACACCTAACTCAAAGAAACTGGTCCTTAAAGTCTTTGTAATTGGTGGTATAGGCTTGAAGAAAAATCTTTTCGGGAAGGCCACTAATTGTAACCCAGCCACCTTTTTCAACACCCTTGATTTTAAGAAAAGGAGAATAATAGGTATATGGTAGGATTTATGTCTACGGCCTCACAAACTATCTCAAAAGCCTTGATAAATCCTCAACTATTGGAACAAAGTTATGAAGGGGAAGTGTTCAGGGTTCTTAACAGATCGGATTTAAAATCAGTAAATGGAAGATGGATTTTAAAATCCTCTAGTACATCGGCATATAAATGGACTAATGTATGACTCCTTTATGATGAACTATACAAACACATTCCCTTGGGATACAAGGTTCCAAAATAACATCATCTTCATTCCCGGTAGAGGAGATACATTTCATGGATCAGAATTTATCAATCTCTACTTCATCAATGGAGCTACGATTATAACTCATCACTTCTTGATCAAACGAGTCCATAATCTCTATCAACACCTCTACCGATGAACCTGATGAGGAACATTCGAAATAAGAATCGCTAAAAGAGGTGGAAATATCACCATAAGCCTCCTTTACAATACTATCAAAGTTAGTTTGACTTAAAGTATCCCTACGACCTATCACATAAAAATCCCAAAGACTTTTCCTTTCTTGAATACTTAAGTCCCTCAATACATTCACGTTATTATCACATGCATGAACAATAGTCATTGATTAAAATAAAAAGAATGCATCACAGAGAAGTAAAAAATAAATATACCTAAGCTTGAAGAACAAATGAGAACTCTAGAGATGGCCTTGAAAAAGGAATAAGTTACTTTAAGGAATGATTAGCAAGAAGGTGAAAAGATGACTTTAATTAGTGAAGAAATCCTTTTAAATTATTCTAAAAATATGAAACGTTTTAGATCACTCAAGATGATTAATTTCCCATAAAAGTCATCATTACCGGGGATAACGAGAATCTGGTAAAAGATACGCTCTCATGTCCGTCATGATTAAACAAAGTCATTGAAAACAAGTACGAAGGCATGAGAGGGTCAAGGAATACCTCGACCATACTAGGTGAAGATGAAATCTATAAGCTTCTTTTGTCCGAACATTTCAATCTTTCAGATCTAATGCTCGGGGGGCTTATGTTCATCCTAGAAATTAGTTTGACCAGCCAATTTATAAAATTGGAATAAACATATTGTACATCCTAGAATTTCCTGAAGCCGAGTTAGTGGAAAAGCCGAGGATGAAGAGGCGAGTACGTTGGATAATCATACGTACAAGTCGGATTCCAATTAGAAGTGCTAAACAAACAAATTAGAGCCGACCTCATGCATATAAGCCGTGACCGATCTCGTGCGTACAAGTCTGGTCCGATGCTAATGTTAGGAGTACCATACGAAGAGTTGCAAGAAATCGTTACATAATGTTCCACGATGGCATGCGAGTTACAATTACTGATGAGAGAGACGTTACATGGCAATTATAGGGGCGACATATGTTACTTAAGCCTGTATTTATGAAGGATATTAATAATAAACATGAGGGGAGAATGAGAGAGTCGAGCCATATAAATAGGCGAGTGCTTGGAACTCAGAGACCAACAAAGACACATAACAGACACTTAAGCTAATCATTTTAGGCTCTCCTTGACCGATAACAAGGAAGTCAACATTTTAATGTTTTTTTTAACAAAAATAATTACCACAAGATAATTCTATGCATTAACTTTCTACACTTCAAACCACTACCTAATTAAAGTCACATAACTCAAATTATAATAAAAATAAGGTCTAAAACATAATATATCTCTCAAGATTCAAATCAGAGATATGCGACTTAAATCAACCAAAATTAATATCCGATTAAATATTTTTTTACTGTGAATCGAAGTACAGAACAACTAGAATTGGCCAAAAACTCTCAAAACTCACCCATTAATGCCTATCTTCAAGACATATTTACGCTATACTACTGGATATGTTTACCATCCTTATTAAGTGGCAAAGAGCCCATTACTATACTACTACTGAAAATGTTTACCATCCTTATTGGATTAATCGAGCTTTAAATATTGAGATTTTTGTGTAAGTAAATATACACGAAGCTGAAGCAGCCACGACCCAATAAAGGAAGTTACGATTTTATCCTTGCACTAGTACACCACAGTCGTTTGATAAACGGATGCACCCCAGGCCACGTATATGGTAGATAAGAACCACCCAAATCTATGGCATGAAATCAAGCACATTGTCTCTTACACCAACACATTCTAAAACAAAACAAAAGACGCAATCTCAATTTCACACTATACAACTACGCAATTTAACCATCATATTTATTCATTCTCCGCTCAAAGTTTCTTACACAATTCCAACAATCTAGTTTAACACAAGATAGTGTAATAGTGATTCCACCACCATGGCCTTCTCCACCACTTCTCTCCTTTCCACAAACTTCTTAGGAGCAAGAAACATCCCAACCCCCAAAACAACCAAACCCTCCATTTCACTACCACTTTTCTTCAAAACCAAATTCTCTAACTCTCTAAAACCAAATAATGATAATAAAAATTCAGAACCACTCAAATCCGCAGCTGTTTCCGCTCTTATCTTATCCTCTATCTCTCTAAACCTAACTCCGGCGGCTCTCGCCGTTGATAATTCCACATTACCTCCACCACAACCACCGGTTCTCGAAGCACAGCCAAATCAATTAAACCCTACAAACTCATCTTCACCGTTCTCTCCAAACATTTCACTCACAGCACCCAAGCCTCAAGCGCAATCTTCCTCCGATCTCCCCGACGGTAGCCAGTGGCGTTACAGCGAGTTTTTGAATGCGGTTAAGAAGGGGAAGGTTGAGAGAGTTAGGTTCAGTAAAGACGGTGCTGTTCTTCAGTTAACCGCCGTTGATGGACGGAGAGCGAACGTTATCGTTCCTAACGACCCTGACCTTATCGATATTTTGGCTATGAATGGTGTTGATATTTCTGTTTCTGAAGGTGAACAAGGGAACGGTTTGTTCAATTTTGTTGGTAGTTTGTTATTGCCGTTTCTTGCTTTTGCGGGTTTGTTCTTGATTTTCCGTCGGGGTCAAGGAGGACCCGGTGGGCCTGGTGGGCTTGGAGGCCCCATGGATTTCGGTAGATCGAAATCGAAATTCCAAGAGGTGCCGGAAACTGGAGTGACTTTTGCTGATGTGGCTGGTGCTGATCAGGCTAAGCTTGAGCTACAAGAAGTTGTTGATTTCTTGAAGAATCCTGATAAGTACACTGCTTTGGGAGCTAAGATTCCAAAAGGGTGTCTTCTGGTGGGTCCACCGGGAACTGGGAAAACATTGTTGGCGAGGGCGGTAGCAGGGGAAGCTGGTACACCGTTCTTTTCGTGTGCGGCTTCGGAGTTTGTGGAGCTTTTTGTGGGAGTTGGTGCTTCTAGAGTTAGGGATTTGTTTGAGAAGGCGAAGTCGAAGGCGCCGTGCATTGTGTTTATTGATGAGATTGATGCAGTTGGGAGACAGAGAGGAGCTGGAATGGGTGGCGGGAATGATGAAAGGGAACAGACTATTAATCAGCTTTTGACTGAGATGGATGGATTTTCTGGTAATTCAGGTGTTATTGTTTTGGCGGCTACTAATAGACCTGATGTTCTTGATTCTGCATTGCTTAGACCTGGAAGGTTTGATAGGCAAGTTACCGTGGATAGACCTGATGTTGCCGGTAGAGTTAAAATCCTTCAGGTGAATACTCTCTCATACCAACTTGTTTATTTAAGGTCTTTTTTGAAGCCAAAGCAAATAATTGTCTTAATGTGTATCTTACTTCGTTACCAACACAGAGGATTTAAGTTGCACTCGTGCCACAACCATAATTCTTAAAATTGCAAAGAATTCCTGTTTAATACGGCTTATGCAATTTCACATTAGTCTTATATGTGGTTGCAGATATATCTAAAATATTAATGTCATGGTCCAATTTGCAATTGCAAGCCTTTTTCTGAAATATTGATACACATTGACATTTATTTTGTCGGTGGCAGCTAATAGCTGAGAACATGTGCATGCAGTTAGAACTTAGTACACATTTAGATTACAATTTGCTTTAAATCTAGTCTAAATACTCCTTTTGTAATATTGAAAGCTGAATTGGGTAGGTGGAATTGAAAATTTCTCTATGCTCTTTTTGTCTAGTTTATGAAATATTGTGGTTAGGATAACCTTGATTGCATCTAGTTTTATTTGGAGATGTTTAAATTGATTAAGTTATGTGCTACTTTGTGTCTTAATTATTCTTCTCTGTCAGGTGCATTCTAGAGGAAAAGCACTTGCAAAGGATGTTGACTTTGATAAAATTGCCAGGAGAACTCCAGGATTCACAGGGGCTGATCTTCAGAATCTGATGAATGAAGCTGCTATTCTTGCAGCCAGGCGCGACCTCAAGGAAATAAGCAAAGATGAGATATCTGATGCACTTGAAAGGATCATTGCTGGACCAGAAAAGAAAAACGCCGTTGTCTCAGAAGAGAAGAAGAAATTAGTAGCCTATCATGGTATGTTTTTTTCCCCTTCCTTTTCTGAGTATCCAAGCTTGTCAGGTTTAAGTTGATTTTTGGATCCTTAATCACCATGCTTCTTCCTTGTTGATTTTCAGAGGCTGGCCATGCTTTAGTTGGCGCTTTGATGCCTGAATATGACCCTGTAGCCAAGATTTCCATTATACCTCGTGGCCAAGCTGGTGGTCTCACCTTTTTTGCTCCCAGCGAAGAGAGGCTCGAGTCTGGATTGTACAGTAGAAGCTACTTGGAAAATCAGATGGCAGTTGCACTTGGAGGAAGGTCAGTCTAACGCCATGCAATAAACTGAATCTTGCGCATTACTTTACCTTATTTAGAGTTGGATCTCGAGTTTTGCAAGTTGCAAGTTATTCTCACATCGGAATTACATACCAAGGAACTAACTTTTTTTGTTGAATTTAAGGAACTATTTTTCACAAATTTGAGGGACTATATCAAGGACGTAAATACCGATTTACTTGTTTTACTGTTGGCTACGTACCCGTTGCATTTTTTAAGGGGCATGCATGGTTATAGTCGTAGTCTGAACTTGAAATGCAGGGTCTTATTGTCTTTAGCTTTGGGTCTGTAAATATTATGCAGCAAATTCCTTATCTCTGTATTTGGTGAAACAGGGTCGCAGAAGAGGTTATATTTGGCCAGGAAAATGTCACCACTGGGGCATCAAATGATTTCCAGCAAGTTTCACGAGTGGCGAGACAAATGGTTGAGAGATTTGGGTTCAGCAAAAAAGTCGGACAAGTTGCCATCGGCGGGGGTGGTGGAAACCCATTCTTGGGACAACAGGTAGGCCGCGATTTAACATAGGTTGATGAGGATATTAGTAATATACTTTTGTTTTATTTTTCTCAGCAAAATGAACCTCTCAAAATAAATTTCCTCACCATTTATAAAACTGTGATTGCAGATGTCATCACAAAAAGATTATTCCATGGCAACTGCCGATATAGTGGATAAGGAAGTTAGAGAACTGGTAGAGAAAGCATATGTGAGGGCATCAGAAATTATCAACACTCACATTGACATTCTTCACAAGCTTGCTCAACTTCTCATAGAGAAAGAAACAGTTGATGGTGAAGAGTTCATGAGTCTATTTATTGATGGAAAAGCAGAATTGTATGTTTCATAAGAATTTACACGTAAGACACAACAATGTTTGTACTATAATATACACTGAAACATGTACACTGTAAGAATCAATTTAATATTTATCAAATTAAGATAAAAATATGTGCACATAAGGCTTATGCAAAAGATTCTTCCGCCGCCACTGGTGGCATGACTATGATAACATGCTTAACCATGCATAAATAGAGGAGAGAAGAGAGATTGTTTTAAATTGTAGTTGCTAATGTTAAAAGTGTAATTCAATTTCTGTTATGGTAAGTAGTTAGTATAACATACATGCACTTAGCCTTTGTATAAATGTGCTATTTTGTAATAAAATGTAAAATATGCTATTAGTCTTATCAATTATGTCCTTTTTTTTTATAAATTTTAAATCCAACTTTTTTTTTATAAATTTTAAATCCAACTTTTTTTTTAATTCAGCATTGTTATTTGAGAGTATTTTGAATTCTCATTTAGTGTGTATATGCCATCATCAATTGTTTTTAATGTATTAGTGATTGTTGGTTTCATTTTGAGCAAAACACAAGTGAAAATGAGGGTGTCCGATAGGGATGGAAAAAAAACCGCGCATATACACTATGTTGTTGGGGTCGGGACCATGGGTTTGATCATGCCCTCCTCAGAGTGGCTCATAATTCCAACTAATATGTATATTTCATTAATAATACAGAACTCGCCACAACTTTCATGACCTTAATGTTGTCTGAAATCAACCTCCCCTCTACATTAATGGGTTTATTGGTCATAATAGCCATCAACTCCAAATCTCTTTTTACAATAAACTTCGAGGTGTTGGAAGTAGCCTCTCCCCTCTACATTAATGGGTTTATTGGTCATAATAGCCATCAACTCCAAATCTCTTTTTACAATAAACTTCGAGGTGTTGGAAGTAGCCTCAAGAGTTTGAACAAAGAAAGAAGGCCACACTCTTTGAATTTGAATTTGACGTAGATCTCTAGTGTTAGGCTTTTTGGAAAATACCCTGTTTTCCTACCCATTGCACCCTAAAACCCTGTTTTCCTACTCATTGCACCCCAGAACGACACAACTCTTCCAAAATTATTGACCATCATGAATCATATTCTAAAATTTGCCCTACCTTTTTCCACTTTATATGATTCATGATCTTTAGTTCATCTGCATACTCATGTCATAGTCATTTATGTTATTCATTTACAATTACATTTTCAAGTAAGCATTATTGATTCAAGGGTCTTGCTATTTATGACACAAAGATGAGATTATGACAAGTAACCTATCAAGCTCCATGGGATAGGGTTCCCCCTATTGTGTTACACTGGATTTGAGATGCTCATCTTTGTGAAATCCTAATCATTATGGACTACATCATGACATTGAATTTTGAGGTTACTTGCAAGTTTGACTTTGTTCCAAGCCAACCATGAGAGGTTAACTCTTATTGACCAATTTCTTTACGGGCTTTTTCATAAACTAGTTCATTGGCTATTTGTTTCAGATTCAAGTCAAGGAAATCAAGATTCAGTTTCATTCAAGAGTTCAACTTCAATCCAAATATTCAAAATCAAGATTTGGAGGAAAATCACTTTTCTTAAAGCATAAGACACATATTTCCATTCAAGGGTTAATTTCCATTACAAAAGCATCAAACATTCATTACAAAATCCAAGATTATAAAATTCTACAAAAAAAGTACACATTTGATCTAGAGTTGACTTTTTGGTTAATTGTTGACTTTTTGGTCAAACAGTTGACCAAAGCCAACTAACTATCCTAAACCCTATCCTACTTTTTCTTTATTTACAAGCCATCACATCTTTATGATTCTTCAAAGCCTCCAAGTTCTTCATAATTCTTGATGTTGTCCAAAACTTCTTCATATGCCATGACTTGCTTCATGATCCATGTCTTCATGACCAAAATGACATGCCATTTTGGTGTTATCCCATACCATGCCATCCTATCACATACACCATCTCTGCATCAAACAAACCAACATTTCAACGTACACATCTCATCCAATTAAAAACATGGTCCATGCACAAATGTAAAGTCAAGCCAAAATCCATGAACCATTTTGCATGCTATACATTCATATGACTTATACACATTCATGTATAGCCATACAAAAAAATCCAAGACTGCATGATTAATTCACTTAACATACGCCATTGCATCCAAATAACATAGAAGAAACAAAATATCGTGTTGGTAAACAAGACAATTATCAACACTATTACCAAATACAAAAAAGTCATCCATAAATATCTCGATGGAATTTTCAATCATATCAGAAAAGATGAAAAATATGCACCTTTGAAAATTAGTTGAAGCATTGCATAGACCGAAAGACCCTCTTATAAATAAAAACTTCAAATAGAAAAGTAAAAATGGTCTTCTCTTGATCAACGAGATCTATATCAATTTGATAATATCACGAATAGCCATCTAAGAAATAATAGTAAGTTTAACCTACTAATCTTTCCAACATCTAATCCATGAAAGGTAATGGAAAATGATTTTTCTCATAGCTTGATTTAACATGTAATAGTCACTACACATGCTCCATTCGGTAACTGTGCGAGTCAGAATAAACTCGTTATTTGCATTCCTGACAACTGTCATATCTCCTTTCTTTAAAACTACATGCATCAGACTCACTCAAAAACTATAAAAAAATAGGATAAATCACACCTGTTTTGAGTAACTTGAGTACTTTCTTTATCACCACTTCCTTCATGGTAGTTGAGGTTGCACTACATGTTTGAATTCTTCCTCAAGTTTGATCTTGTGCATGAAATAAGGTGGGATTATTCTTTTCAAATCAGTAACAGTCCAACCAAGTGCTTCTTTATTACCTTGTAGAACTCTCAAGAGTTTTTCTTCCACTAAACTAGATAGTGAACTACTAATAATAGTTAGTTGCAACAATTTCTCTCCAAAGAAGACATATTTCAAGTATGGAAGAAGCTCTTTCAATTTAGGACCATTCAAACTTTTGATCGAACTCTGCAGCTCACTACCACTTAGCTTTTCAATCTTTTTTGTTGTTCTTTCAACTTGGGTTGCTTGCAACTGAAGTACACATTATACTACCTCTTTATCATATTCTTCTTCAACTGCTCCAATGGAATTAACAATGATTCTATCCATCGGTGATGATGGTAACTCATATGTAGCTACTTTTTGAACGATTTCTTCCACTACATTAACTTTACTGCACTACGAGTTTTCTTTTTGATGTTTCATGGATTCAAATACATTAAACATAACATGTACTTTATTGAATATCAAAATTAATTATCCCATTTCAACATCAATCAGGGTGTTATCCGTTGCTAAGAAAAGTCTTCCTAACAATAATTTTTTTTCAGAATCTTATGCCATATCTAGGATAAAAAATCACGCGGGAACAATAAATCATTTACTCTCACAAAAAAATCTTCGAGAACTCCATATGGATAAGTTATTGATCAATCACCTAATGCAAGAGTCATCTGAGTTGATTTTGGTTCTCCACAATTTAGCTTCCTCATCATCCATAAAGACATCAAGTTGATAATAACTCCAAAATCACACAATGCATGACCAATCTTCAGTGGACCAATAAAACAAGGAATATTCAATCTACATGGATCATCTAGTTTATGTGCTAACTTTTGAATAATGGCACTAAACTTTTATGCCAAAACAAGATCCCACTTCCAATTTTTTTCTTTGGTTTCTTCTTTAAAATGGGGTAAGGTGGCTTGACATAGTAATGGTAGTTTTGGGTTAGGTTCATTGAGGATTTGTTTCTTAGTTCTTCTCAAAGGAAAGTTCCGATCTATGGGCTTATCAAGAGTATCCCCTTATAGATTCTTTGATCGATTTCTCACTTTTTTTCTCCCTTTGATTTTTTCTTTCCATCTTTTTCAACTACTTCATCCTCTTGATTTTTCTTCTCACCCCACGTACTTCTTTTCTCTTTTCACTAGTAATATGTATTAGCACTCTATTTCTCAATTCAATAGTCTTAGAAGTCTCATTCTTTGGATTGTCTACAATATTTCCACTAAAACCCCCCACTTGAAATAGTTTGTGCGACTAAATGTATAAATAACTGACCAATTTTCATCTCTAGATTTTTTATGGAAGCTTAAGCATTCTTACTCCTAGTTTCCTGATTCTTGTTTACTTGCTTGAGACTAGCTTGAGTCAATTTCATAAATTGATCCATAGATTTTTCAAGTTAAGATGGTTTCCTTTTTTGTGGTGTTTGTAAAACACCTTGCTTTGCATTCAGAGTTTGATTGACTTGAAGTTGGGATGATCTTTACAACCAGAATTCTAAGTGTTGGAATAAGGGTTATTCTTCTGAAAATTTATATATTGAGCTTATGCGCCTACTCCTTCTAGTACACAATTGCCACTAGCATGCTCCTTTTTACAAAAATCACACCTTAGTGTTTGAACTTGACTAACATTGGCTAGAGCAATAATGACTGCAGCTAAATGTTTATAAATCACCTCTAGTTGAGCTAACACTACAATATTTGCATCCAATTCTAGTACACCATTTGATTTAACTCCTCTTTCACGTTGTGAACGATACTCGTGCTGCCACATTTTCTCTTTCAACTATTTCACTTTATCTTCATTTTTTGTTTTAGTGGTACCTCCAATTGAGGCATCCAAGAACATTCTTGCTTGAGAGTTTAGTCCTCTAGTGAAATTTGCATATACTTTATAGTGCTCATGTTGTGATTCATACATCTTCCGAGTAATAGTTATAATCTCTCCCATGTATCAGATAAGGACTCAACATCACCTTATTCAAAATTTGAAATCTCAGACCTTCTTTCCACAAACTGTGTTTTTGTGAATAGTCTATCCATAAAATTTTCTTCCAACTCCTTTCGTGTTTGAATAGTACCGTTGGGTAAACACTGCAACCAATATTTAACTCTGCCTATTAGAGAGAATCCAAATAGTCTTAATTTGATCGGATCATCAGTTACTTCATATGGTATGCAAATCAAACATGTCTCGTAGAAGCGATCCAGATGCTCTCATAGATCTCTGATAACTTGTCCGTCAAATGAGTTATCTCTCAAACTTAAAAGCACATAATTTTTAATATTAAAAGTAACAAGGTTAGTCCGTTGAAATCCTAAAGAAATTTCTCCATCATCATTTTTGTTGCAGTAATCTCTCATCGTTTCTCTCGATGGAATATTCATTTCTTCTTTCTCTTCACAACTTTTATCATTAGAAAAAACAAGTGTTTTATCGTCTTCCATCATCTCTTTAGCTCGTTGTGATTAGCTATTTTCTCTTTGAATTTCTCTTGTAGACTTTTTGATCTATGAAATCAACGATATCCGTGTCAAACTTGAACCTCGCATAAATAATAAAATTAAAAATAACTACTAAAAAAATTAAAATTAAAATTAAAATTAAATGTAGCACAAAAATCGTCTTGATAAAATAATTCAATAATCTATGGCAACAACATCAAAAATTTGATAAACTTTTAGCAAATATACTAAATGCTTTCAAAGTAATAAAATAAATTCGTATTCACCTGAATTGTTTTATCTTAATAAGACAATCAAATGCCTGGTATGAAAGAATGATTGCGGAAACAAAAATTTGTTAGAAATTAATCAAATTAAAGACAATTAGACCTTACTATGAAATCCCTGTATGTCATTAATGATGATGGTGCCTATTAGTCATATGTTAATTCCTAAGTGGTAACAACGGTTTAACTTAGTTGTTATACGATATTCTTTGGCGTATAACTCACTATTTTACAATACAATTCACTAATCCTTTAGGTTAGCTGGATAGTTGGAAAAAAAATTAGGTACATTAAATCCTAAGTCACAACTTATAATTTCTTATCTCTTATTAATTATTAAGTTGATCACTTAAATTAGATAAGACTCATAAAATTATGGTCAGTAATCGATACATGACTAAATTCGATAAATAAATTCAACAACACATATATATAAAGCAATAAACATGATATTAACTTAATAATTATAATAAATTAATCAAAAGTGTCAATAGGACAATACACAAACATAGAATCCGATAGATTCACGTCTAGGTTCATCTAGCAAGCCCTAATCAATAGAAATTTAACTACACATATTGATAGTAATCATAACTAAAAAAAATAAAGAGACAATACAAGAATCTCCGATTAAAAATTGCCTTTCGATAATCAAAATCTTCGCTCCAGAGCTTTAAAACTTACCTTGTCGTTAGAAATTCTGTATCAAAACGGCCACACCTTTTCTCCTCTCTTTCTCCTATTTATAATAGTAAATGCATCGCTAGAGTCATTGCGCCTTGATGACTTGATGTCCATCTCGCCATGATGTAGCAGCGATTTTTCCAGAGATGTTTTGCTCTTTTTTCTCACAGTTGTCCTTTTTTTCCCCTCTTTTTGCCTAAATCTTTAACTATTTCATTTTCTTTCTTTTCTTAATCAAACTTAACTCAAATCACTTAAAAATGAGTAAAAAAACATACAAATATTTATAAAAATTACATGATGATATATTATCTACGGCTGAGTTAATACCAAATTATTTATTACAAATGAGTGAGGAAGCTATATATGTATAGTTATTTGAAGTGATTGAAACTTAACATAACTAACTATAATTCTAACTGAATAAACAAAAAAGTTAACTGAATTATATTGATAGTTTGAGCTCTTTTCAACACGAATCTCTTGGCTCTCAAAGAAACATAAATTTGGCTTAAATGACTTTACATTATATACTTTATTTCCAAAACTAATAATAATATTGAGATATCTGTAAAATTTAGTGATTTTTGTTGGATTCTCCTAAAACATGATCATCTTGCTTAATCTGTTGGGAAAGTTCTTCATATAAGCTAGCATTTGTTGCACTGAACTTCTCCATGGCAAAAAGGATCTGCTTCAAACCTGATTGCAAACTAGTAGAATCAACTATATCAGCATTATTATTCACAGCATCTCCTTTCAACATAGCATTGGTCTCTTCTTTAAGTGCTTTTGCAATTGTAACCATCTTTTTCTTTTGCTCTTGTCTCTCCACAATTTTCACTTTTCTCTGCATCTTTTGCCGTTGTCTCTCCGCAATTTTCACTTTTCTCTCTAATTCCTTATCCAATGTTGAATTATTCTGATGCTCCAAAACATACTTTTCCAATGGTTCATTGATTCGAAGTATGAATCCATTTACAGCTTCAATAACATTCTTCTCTGAGATATTATCCATTGCCTTTGACCACTTGTTACATATCACAAACACAGGTGGTGCATCAAAAGGAGTTGAACCATCAACTATTTCTTCAGGTTCATACATTAGACATCTTACTAACCAATTATTCAGAGCTTTCACAAGAGATTTCTGAGCTTGAATCCAATCTAAGAAGCTTAAAATCCATTCCTGTAACTCAGATTTAAGATTTAGTGCTGCTTCAATATTAGCATGGCAAGGTTTTCTGTTGAATATGGAGAGGTCTAAAGCTTTTGTTTCAACAATTTTCTGATACTGAAGTTTGTAACATTCTTGCATATCTTTCCACATTCTGAAAAACCTTTCATCACCAAAAGAATATAACAATCTATTAGAATTTATAAAGTGAGTTTATTTACAAGAAAGTTTAGTTATGACTTACATGAGAATAAACATGTCGATTTGTGGCCATAGCTCTTCTTCTGTCAACTTACTGATCGTAATAGATATCTTGTCAACTGCTTGGAAAGAAATTTTCATTTTCATAACCAAAATATCAATCAAAGCTTCAACAGAATCAATTTTTTGAGCATCTGCATTTTTCTTAGTCATACATTTTAACTGCTTGCACTTCTTCTCACGAAGTGTGCGCATTTTTTCTTCAGCCTGAAAAAACAAAAAGAAGAAAGCACATTATAGGTTTACATTCATTTGACAGTTACAAGATACTCCCAAAATTTGACTGAAAAAAAGAAAGAGTAAAATTTGTACCTTCACTTCTTGATACAGCTTCTTTTCCCACAGACACAGCTTACTCAAAGTGGAGCAAAGATTTCCACAGCTAAGACCCTTGTCTTTACAAACTCCTTCGCAATCAGATTCTGTTTTCCGTCGAAGCGATGAACCCTCCAAGCATTTATTCATCACTGGATTTGGCTGACTAAACACATCCATAATCTTCAACAAACCTGATCCCAAATATCTCATTTTATGCATTATTTTTACCAACTAATGATAAAGAGAATATAAAAATACTCAAACACGGTTACCTGTACTGACTTCAGTTTTTGAATGGTAACGGAGTTTTCCAACGTCTAACATCTCCAAAATCTTGTTCCCCGAATCCGATGCTGTCTGAAATAGAATATCAATTTCTTTCACCGCTTCACAAATCACTTTCACAAAGTCGCTACATTCTTCTAACTCCGATGAATTTTTCTCCTCTTTCAAATTGATTTTCTTATGTTTCCCTTCTCTATTTTCTGGCTTACATACTTTATCTCCTCCGCCTTTGGATTTAACACACTCACTTTTCTGAGTTTTAACATTTCTCTTTTCTTTCTCAACCCTTAAGTTAGTGTCATTGTAACCGTCACCACCGTCGTAGTAAGGTACTTGATACTTCTCATAAGGTTCAAAGAAGTTTAAGAAATCCCAAGCAGAGTTACTCGGAGGAGGCGGCGACGGCGGCTTCAACCTGGAAAACATGGCTGTGGTATTAGACGGAGGCTGTGGAGAATAGGAATCATAAATAGGTTTGACATAATTCATGAAAGTCGCATTATCTGGAACCGACGATAATACATTGTCATGGTGAGTGCATAATTGTGATTCTCTTTCTCTTTCTGCTTCATCAGTTTCTGATTCAGAATGCAGAAGGACTCGTGCAGCATCTGAATCAGAAGAAAAAAGCGAACTCAAAGGAGATGATGTTTTTGAGATGGAAGCATTGATTTCGCAGCTGTAATCTTCGGGTTGTTGGAAGAAACTGACGAGTGCCGGGCCGAGTGTCCGGAGGGATTCCATGTGTGCCACGTGTGCATCCGCAAGAGCATAGCTTTGATGGAGTGATTCATCTATGAATTTAGAGCGGTCGCGGCACAAGGACACTGCTGGAAGTTTATCAAGTTTTGAAAAATTACAGCCCATTGTTATGTTTGGATGGGAAAATGGAGAAAAATTACTGTTTGAAAATGTAACAGTCGAAATTAAATAGAGAATTTGAAAAGATGAAATTTTATTGGGAAGGGTTGAAATATGAAATGTGTTAATTGGTCCATTTAAGTATGGGTTAGGAGTGCAAGTGTAACTGTGACTATGTAATAAAGTGGCGGGTACTGCCCTATAACGGTCTATTTTTTTGTAATTTTTTTAAAAAAATTTATTGACAAGTTATTTTACCAAGTATTGCATTTATTTTGTTTATTTAATTTTTACGGAATGTATTTAAGTAATTAATTACGGTTATAAATATGTAAAGTTACTACTGGAATAGAATTTGCGGCAAACAGATAGATAGAGGTGACGAACATTCATCCATGTGACTAAACATCAAAGTCAGTGGTGAAACAGATTGGATACATGGCTTGATTTTGGATTAAAACATTAAAAATAAAATAAATCATCTTATATTTATTATTATTAAATTTAATTGAAATGAAGGTGTAAAGTTTACACCTTAAGTGGATCATGGCGGTTAAATTTTATAATTCTTTTTCTTTTTTTTAATCATATATAAACTTTAAACATTAGCCCTAGGAAAACGTTGGTGGTAACAACCGATTGTTGTCGTTGTAACATAGTAGTAGTAGTACCGTTTAACTTAACCATTAATACTCACGATTGCCCTCCAAAGGTGGAAAGCAAATGATATCCAAGCTTTTTGATCGATCATGAGGATTGAGGACGTTGAATGAATGAATCCAAAATTTATCATTTCAACTGTTATTAAGTTCAAAGTGATTTATAATTACGCATAACGAATTTTTAAGGGTTGGTACGGAGGCAATATGATGAAATGGAAAAAGTGCATTATAAATTAGAAAAGTTTCAAATGCACGTCTTTTACTTCTCATGAAAAGTTTAATATGTCTTTTACATCAAAAGAAGGTTTTTGGGTGGAATTCCAACTCACATTGTTGTCTGTTATATGTTTATGTTTATGTATGCCTTTTCTCTTTTCTAGTGGCTAAGTTATTTTATGAAGTAGAAGCTGGACCAACTATAAAATACAAAATGCTATTGCTATCTTGCCCCATATATGTACAAGGTGGTATGCAATCCAGGATCTCATATTTTTTGTTGATTAAACTATAATAAAAAAGATCTTCATATATGTATTTCACAATTATTTTACAATTAAATAATTTTTTTTAAAAAAAATTATCACTCAATTACAATTAACTTTAATTTCTTACATAAAATCTCTCAAAAGTTTAAAACGACTTTATACATTAAAATAAGCGTATAGACGAAGAACAATGATATCAACGATAGAACCTATAATACTAATCACTGTTACCCTATAAAAACAAGACAAAAGCATGTGACTTTATAGCTTTGATGCATCCCATGATAAAAAGACCACCAAACAACAAATTCTCAAACAAGACACAAAAAAGACATGTGCACCAATAGATTTTTAAACAAAACTTTGTTTGAGAATTTGGAGAAGAAGTGAAGGGAAGGTTTCTGAAAATATATTTTTAAAATATTATAGAAAAATATGTTAAATTTTTTAAAAGAATGATTTTGTATAAAATAATAAAAGAGTATTTATTATTATTATATTTTTATCTTTCACAATATTATAACAACATAAAATATATTTAAAAATTTATGTAAGTTTTTTTAAACTCTTCTTCAATACAAATTTTGAATTCTTTTAAATTAGGAAATTTTTAATGTTATGAATAAAAATAAATCATCCAAAACTCTCCCAACAAAAATCCTTCAATTCTTTCTACTCAATCCTTTCTTTTTTCGAAGTCCTCCCCTTCCTTCCCCTCTAAACACCCAAAAAGATCCTAAATAATTTTGATAGAGCTTTGGATACTCTTAATGTTATGATTTCAAATTTTGACGAACATTCTTTTTAAAAAAAATGTATGAGACATTAAAGTAAAGTTTGACCTGGCCACAAAACATAAATCATTCTTTTGATTGTTTAGGATATTCTCGTAACTATTTTTTATTGATATGAGTTAGGCCAACATATATCTCGGTAGATTATCATACTACTCTCATATATCGCTTTTATGATTTCTTTATTTCATTATACTGAGCTTTCAAGCATCAAATATCAACATTAATTGTTAGGAATGTTTGTTTGATATATTTCGACAGATAGAGGTGTATGTGAAGAAAAAAGGTGTTTGCGAGTTTCTTGACAGACTCATAAGAGAGAAGATTGACACTTAGCCTAACACATGCATGTGTGAACTTGATTGAGGTGTCTCCTTCATGGGACTGATGAATGGAGAATTTACATTTGGACAACCAACACCAAAGTCGATTCAAGTAAAGTGGTCAAATATGAGAAAGTGTGTTTCAACAATCAACATACTTTCATGCCAATTTCATTTGACATTTTTGGCTTTATAGTACCAAAGACAATGAATCTTTTGTAGAATGTCCAAAAGCTTACACATATCAATGTGTTGAGATACAACTGTAAGTTGGAAGTCCTCATTGCTTCGAAAAGTGGAGATTGAACATTTTATAAATAACACGAGTTATATATCTAATACCTTAAGGTTTGGAGTGAATATGTTGTTGAACACGTGACTCCATACACAAAGAGGGGAGGGGAGGTTGAATCGTATGGGTTTGAAAAACGTTGGTTTTGTTTTCTAAATTAGAGTTAAAACCATTTTCAATAAAAAGTTTGGATATGCAACGGAAAATAGAATAAAGTGTGAAAAATAAAGTGATAAGGGAAGAGAGAGTGACACCCGAAATTTATAGAGGTATGATCTAAAATATGTAACCTACTCCTTTCCATAAGAAAAATGAAGTTTCTGATTTACTTCCAACAAAATAGCGAACATTGGAATGAATCAGTTAATCTTCACACCAAACACGAAAAAATCTTCGAGCGATTTGTCTCCAAGCTAAACTGAGATTTTTTACGGATTGTTGGAACAAAAATGGTTTATCCAATATCTCTTAGGTTTTGATGATAATAAAATATTTAAAGAACAATTGGGTATACTAATGTTTGTTCAAATATGATGGACCATAAACTAAGCTTTCATGAAGAATCCAAGTATTGGTTCTGATTATGAACATTCAAAGAGAAGATTAAAGACCAAAATCTGATGGATCAAAAGCTGAAGACCAGACTCTGAAGAAGTCCACTTATGAAGAGGTCAGTGTCTGAATGTTAGAGTCTGAAGAACTCAACCTTTGAAGACCAGACCTTGAAGAAGTTTGCTTCAGATGATTAAAATTCAAGTCAGTCAAAGTGCAAGGACCAATATGACTCTGATAGGTTACTGTTCATATTAGAATGGGCGAACACTCCTTAGGCCTGCATTTTGTGCCATGGGCTTACTTTTAGCACCCCATTGTTTTATTTACTATTTTTTTATTATTATTTTGTATTGCGTTTTTTTCTTGCTTATTTTAGTGGGCCTTTTGGTCGAACTGCAGTAAAACGACAAGAAACAAAAATTTAGTTTTGGAAGGATTCACTCTGAGATTTATATCGTCTTCACAGGGATCGATGCGAGGGAAAGAACATTGTTCAACAACCTCTACATTTCTAAGTTTGTTGTAAAAAAATTGTGAAAGATCAAAGATACCATAAATAAAGGCAGAAAATATAAAGACGGAAAATATAAAGTAAAGACTTTAATATAAACAGAGTCTTGTTGAGATTGGATCTCATCAATTGATAACACATGCATTCTTCTAACAAGTTAAACACAAATCAACCATTCGTCTAATATCCTCACGTATCACCCACAATAGAGGTTATGTCTAACACAACATCGAGAGAACAACTATATTGTCTCATTAGTGATGCCTCACACAACTCAACAACACAGAGCATTAAGAACTAATACTTAAGCAAATGTTAAGCCTAAATCTATATCTAGAGTCTAGAACCTAACAGATAATCATCATAGATCCAGATCTAAAGAGTATATTTTTATAGCGGTTCAAATCAAGGATAAACAGGTAAACAAAGATGACATTCATATCAGCTTCATGATTGATTCATATAAAATGCCATTATCAGAATATGTACACACACTTAACCCTTTTTTACATGCATTTAACTAATTTTCCAAATGCAAGTGAACATAGTTCTCCATCTCTATTATCACGCATCCTCATAATACCGTATTGATCTCACTCATGCTACTCATGCTACTAATCAACACAATAAGATAGAAGATACAAGTGAATATCAACTTAGAAGACTATGTCAAAATTTTGCTCATTGATAGATGAATATCTAAGATCTAAGATTTGAAAAAGATTTTGTCAAGACCCACAAATAAGAAATCAAAGACAACATCAATATTGAATCAAAACTAGTTCACAATACATAGATTAGATGAAATATATAAGGTATCAATATACTACATCTAAACCCAACAAGAGATTGAATATCACACCTTTTCCTCCTTAGGATTTGTGCTTCTCTCTCTAGAATATGTTTGGAATGAAGAGAGATAAAGTTCTTATCCTCAAAATATATGTTATAAAAGTTGTACAAAAGTTTTTTTTTCTAAAAAAGTGAGAAAAGTACATATATAGTAAAACAAAAATTTGTCCTGTTCGTCTAGCGAGCACCTTCTTCACCAAACGAAGACCGCTTTTAAGTGCTTGAAGTGCCTCTGAATAGTTAAACCACCCTTGAAAAATATCTGAGTTCACAGTGCAAGCATTCCATTGTACAATGAACTGCTTCACCCAGCGAACTGCTTCACTGTATCTTCGCCCAACGAACTTTGGGTCCTTTTCCTACTGCCTCTAATATAAGATGGTACACTAGGGGCTTCGCCAAGATCTCGCACAACAAGCATTCGCTTTCATCTCACTAGTGTTCGCACAATGAACATGCTGATTCTTCTTCTTTTCTTTGGCTTCCTTGTCCAATCATTTGTGTCTTAATCATTGATGTTTTATGCCTAAAT